AGATGCTTTATCGATAGAAATGCTTTGATAATTTCAATTAATATAAAAAACAATTCTATCGTTAGTGGACATATTCCAAACTAATTGATTAATCTTAAGCGATCAAGAATTGACCGGTCGTTACAAGAATTAATTTAATTACGCTTAAATTAGTTGAATCCGTTCAAGTTCCTTCATTGGTTTCCAAGGGAGTTATAATTTAACGTGGACTACACAATTAAATAACTAGAATTAATACGAACATACTACGTAATATTTTAGTTACTAGAATGATTACAATGAATAGACATCCATGTTGTCTATATACCTTCCAAATCTTTTAAAATTTGACATGTGATAAAAGGAAAATTATGGGGAGAAAAAGCAACATTTCCTATTCTATTTCAATTTATTTTTATTATAACCGCTTTTGAGCCCTATTTTTTAAAAACTTAGGGGTTGTTCTCTTTGTATTTCAGTCTTGTATTTTGAGTTTTGAATTCATTTTGAGTTTTGTCTTTTGAGTGTTCATTTTGAGATTATTGAAAATGTGTTCTTTTTAGTATTCTGAAAAATTGTTTTGAAAATACTCAAAACGAGTTTTAAAAATTTTGGCTTGATTATAATTGAAAACACCCAAAACGACAAATTTGTCGTTTTTGAGTTTTCTTTATAAGTTTTTAACTTGTTTTCAAAAATGTGTCTCTGAAAATAGGAAAGAGAACGCGTCTTCACTGTTTTGGAAATCGAAAACAGAAAATGACTTGAAAATGGTAAAGAGAACAGACCTTTATTTTTTTTCAAACTTATTTTCAACCACATATTCTCACATAAAATAATTTTACATGTAAATTCAGAACTTTTTTCTAATTTTTAACTACAAATTCTTAAAAAGTTATTATTGCAAATTTTATTTATCCCAAAAAATGGGGCTCAAAGAGGGGCTATGATTGATTGAAATTATTCATTCATTAGTGCCCACACCAGAAATAGAGATAAAAAGTGTAGTATTCTTAAAGTTCTGGAAAACATTAAAGAAGACTTGGAGATACTATATGTTGACCTCATTTTTTGTCGAGATGACATGGCCAACAGGTACAGCTCCATGTAGATAACTCCTTGCATGCTAGAACACACCTTTAGTTACTCGTAACTTTCTCTGATGATGGGGAGTCGGCCATAAGCACTCCGACAGTCAAGTCAATCGATGGCGACTTAAGAATAGTAGAGCTGGGTGTATATTTTTAGTGTATGATAGCACTACCTTCAAATGGTTAAATATGTGAGTTTATATAGTGGTAGAAGTGGAGTACTGACTGTAGGATGGGTAGACACGTAGTTACATCTGAAGGTAAAGGTGCACTATGTCTTCTCATAGGTATCAATCCAACAATCATAGTTTGACGGACATTTCATGCTCTAAAATGTAGGATGGTGACTTGACCTTATCGTCAACTTAATCAATCATTAAGATTTGTTTAGAAAAGATCTCTAGTTGCTCCGGAGCCTCCGAGGCTCTGAGATGCCCTTGGGCAGAAGTGATTCGACATGGAACCTCGGATAAGGCGAAGTGTCGCCTCGACTAAATATGATGTGACGTGGAGGAAAAGTGGGCTTTGTTGATTTGGAGCTAAGAGGTGTAACAATAGTCCCCCAAGTCCATGTATGGATATTTATATAATGCGTGGACTTTGTGTAGGTGATGCATTGGTTTGAAGTATGTTTCCTTTCGTTGGTTAATTGTACATTTTGATCACAACACAATAGTCCCGTAAGTCCATGGATAGGTATTTATATAATGCGTGGACTTTCTATGCTGAGGTTAGTTAAAGCATGTAGTACCCTTGCCTAATTTCCTTGTACGCTAGTGCAGGTGCTCCGGAATTGTTGTCACATTCCCTTCGTGAATCTCTCGGAAGGCACTCTTTCTGTGCATCGAAGGAGAACAGATTAGAAGTCTCTTTTATATAAGACATCATCTTTTAAAACAAAGTGTGCAGCTCTTCTCCTAAGTTTGTAATCTTTATCTTTGTTGTCAGGTAAGATCTGATCTTTGAGAATTGGTTGCATTCATATGGTGGTGTCTTTCACCCAAATCATTTATTCTCGCTTAGAAATGGAAGGCATAACGAGGTGCTCTGTTGACCCCAAAAAATGTTGCCAACAGATGCCGGGCCCACTCATGCGCACGCAAGCTTGACCCAGCATGCTAATGCAGTTCAACGGTCAAAATGGCTCCAGAAAATCGGCGTGGGAGTGGCTCTAAGGCACGAGACGTTTCCGTTCAGGCTTCCAGCAAGAAAATGTAACACGATTGTATAAGAAATCAATCGATAAAGAACAATGAGTAGTAGAAAATATGTTGTAAAGATTACTGTTGACAC